CTCTCTCCTCAAATCCCTGATTTCCCTTCCCAGCCAAGTGGGTTCTTGCCCATCCCTTGGTCTCAGCCGAGCTCCGGGGCTGTGCTGCCCATCCCAGTCCTGCCGCTCCCGGCTCCCATCCCACACTCCCTGATCCATGGGATCCGTGTCTGTCCCACCCCGGTGGCGCAGGGAGCCCGAGGGATCCCTGGAATCCTCTGGAATCCCGGGGGCCCTCCCTGCTGCCCCCTCCCCAGGCTGTTTTACCTCCTCCTCCACGGCCCCCGCGGCCTCGGCGTCTCCCAGGCGGGTCCGGCAGGGGAACGCTCGGAGCACCGTCAGCACTGGGGGACGAGGGGGGGGCACAGGGGTGGGTGAACCCCCCCCAAACCCCCGCCAGGGCCCCCCTGCCCCCCCCCCCACCCCGCCACCTACGCTGCGTGTTGGTGTCCCAGCGCCCGCCCAGGTATCCCACCACCTCACTGCGCGTCAGGTGGCTGTGGAAATCCTGCGGGAAAAGGGTTCAAAATCGGCGGCTCGGCCCCAAAATCCCAAAACCAGGGGGACACGGGGGACGCCCCGCAGGGTGCCCCCAGTGCCACCGAGTGCCCGGTGCGGGGAGGGCACACGCACCAGCAGCAGCAGGACGTTGCTGGAGATGGCCACGTTGAAGGGCTGGAATTTGTTGATGGCAGCGAAGGACGTCACCTCCACCAGGGTCTGGGGGTTCCTGGAACAGCCACATTCCTGTCACCCCCCCTCCCCCTTCCATCCCGGGCCCGGCGGTGCCACCCCCGCGTTGTCCCCGTGTGCCCGTACCTGGCCGAGTCCCGCGTGCCCAGGGTGCAGTAGCGAACGGGCACCCGGGGCTTGGTCTCCAGTCTTTTCCCTGGAGCGCCGGGATCTGGGAAGCACAAGGAGCCGTCACCACAGCCCGGGGTCACCCCCCTGAGGACCCCCACCCACCCCCCCCCCCCCCCCCGTGTCACCGTACCCGCCCCCGCGGGCTCGGCCGGGCTCTTGCATTGCTGTTTCTTGCTCCTCTCCTCGGGTTTTTTGGGAGGCGTCGGCTCGGGCAGCGGCAGCCGCCCCCCCTCCCGGGCCGCCTCCTCCTCTTCCTCCTCGGGCATCTCCTCCTCCTCGCCCTCGCTGGCCAGGCCCTGCGGGCAGCGCGGCGCTGGCACCCACCCCATGGTCCCCACCCGCCCTGGGGGTGCTGCGGGGGGTGATCCCCATCCCAGGGTGCCAGAGGGGGTGACCCCCATCCCAGGGTGCCAGGGGGAGAAGGGAGTGACCCCCATCCCACCCACCCACCTTGAGGGACCCAGGGAAGTTTTGACCCCCATCCCACCTACTCATCCACCCTGAGGGTGCCAGAGGGGGTGACCCTCATCCCAGGATGCCAGGGGGGGAAGGGAGTGACTCCCATCCCAGAGTGCTGGGGGGAGTTGTGATCTCCATCCCACCCACCTACCCACCCACCCCGAGGGTGCCAGGGGTTGTGACCCCCATCCCACCCACCCTGAGGGACTCAGGGAACTTTTGACCCTCATCCCACCTACCCACCCACCCTAAGAGTGCTGAGGGAGGTGACCCCAATCTCAGAGTGCCAGGGGGGGAGTGACCCCCATCTCAAGCACCCGCGGGGGGAAGGGAGTGACCCCCATCCCACCCACTCACCCACCCCGAGGGTGCCAGGGGTTGTGACCCCCCTCCCACCCACCCCGAGGGACTCAGGGAACCTTTGACCCCCATCCCCCCTACCCCCCCCAGGGAACTTTTGGGCCGCATCCCCCCCACCCCAGGGTGCCAGAGGGGGGTTATGACCCCATCCCAGGGAGCCAGGGAGGTTGTGACCCCATCCCAGGGAGCCAGGGAGGTTATGACCCCATCCCAGGGAGCCAGGGAGGTTATGACCCCATCCCAGGGTGCCAGAGGGGGGTTATGACCCCATCCCAGGGTGCCAGAGGGGGGTTATGACCCCCATCCCAGGGTGCCAGGGAGGTTGTGACCCCATCCCAGGGTGACATAGGGTTTGTGACTCCCATCCCAGGGTGCCAGGGGGGTTGTGACCCCATCCCAGGGAGCCAGGGAGGTTGTGACCCCATCCCAGGGAGCCAGGGGGGTTGGGACCCCATTCCAGGGTGCCAGGGGGGTTATGACCCCCATCCCAGGGTGCCAGGGGTGGAGTGACCCCCATCCCAGAGTGCCAGAGGGGGGTTATGACCCCATCCCAGGGAGCCAGTGGGGTTATGACCCCATCCCAGGGTGCCAGGGAGGTTGTGACCCCCATCCCACCCACCCACCCACCCCGCACACGCCACCCCCGGGATGTTCCCCCACCTCCATCCCCCATCCCACCCCTCCCACCCCTCCCCTTCCCCCTGACCGCTCCGAGGGGGGTTTTTTCCCCCATCCCACCCCTCCCCTTCCCCCTGAGCGCTCCGGGGGAGGGTTTTCCCCCCATCCCACCTCGTCGGGGGGCGGTGCGTGGGGCTGGTGCCGGCGCAGCCAGGCTGCCTTGTACTGGTCGAGCCTCTGGCCGCGGTACCGCACGGACGCCCACCCGCAGCCCGACTTCTTGGCCGGGTTCACCAGGCGCTTGCAGTGCGTGGCCCAGGCACTGGGGGAGTTGAACACCTGCCCCGTCTCCTGCGGGAAGGGAAAGGACAGAAAAAATCCCGGGAA